CATCGTTTGATTGCTAGAATTGTCACGTGTGCCTCTGATCAACAAATACATGATCATAGCATCAAGAAAACTGAAGAATCCTAGGCCAGGTGTGGTGGCTCACGCTTGTAATTCCAGCACTTTGGGAGGCTGAGGTAGGCAGATAACTTGAGGCAGGAGTTCAAGACCACCCTGGCCAACATAATAAAACCCTATCTCTACCAAAAATACAAAAATTAGCCAGACATGGTGGCATAAGCCTGTAGTCCCAGCTACTCAGGAGGCTTATGCAGGAGAATCACTTCAACCCAGGAGATGGAGGTTGCACTGAGCCGAGACTGCACCACTGCACTGCAGCCTGGGAGACAGAGGAAGACTCTGTCCAAAAAAAAAGAAAAAAGAAAAGAAGGAAAACTGGAGAATCCTTCTCTTAGAAGTACCCGTAAGAAAATGTCCCTATCTGAGGTTTCTGTAGGACAGCCATGGAAAGAGCCGGCCTGGGCCTTGGAGACAAAATAATCTAGGTTCCTCATGAACTAGAAAAGATTCAACTTCTCCAAGCCTCAGATTCCTCATCTGTAAAATGGCAAAGCTAACACCATCCCTGCAGATTGCTGTAAGAATAAAGTGCCAAGCACAGTAGCAAGCAAACAGTAGGTGCTCAATAAATGTTTTCCTCCCAGCAGTCCTTTCTTTAGCTCCATATAAAGGTGCATTCCCAGCTGAGTGACAGCATTTGAAGAGTTCATTCTTAAGAAATAAAATCACCTTAAGAAACAAAATTCTCTATACCCTAACCTTCATGCCTAAAAGGCTAACAACTCGCTATGTTGTGGCAAATGCCAGCAAATGGCATTAGGTTTGGGAAAAAAGAGCCTCGTATGTGCTGTGCATTTCAAAGGTTTGATGTTTACACTGATGACGTCTTCCTCACCACCCCAGGACAGAGTAGGCCCCCTCAGTTACATCTCAACCTTCTATATAATTACCTTATTAGGGTATTTATATAGTTATTCATGAGATGATTTGTGTTATGTTTGTGCACTCTCCAAGAGCCTAGCACAGGCCTGGCCCATAGAAGATGAATGAATGAAGAAAATGTCCACTTGTCTGATCTCCTTCCAGCCATATAGCAATTCTTCGATGACGCAGGGGTATGGATTACACCTTCGTTTTACAGAGGAAAGCTTGCATCACTGTCAAGGTCAGCCAGCGAGGAAGTGGTGGGGCAGGCACATCAGCCAGTCCAGACTTCCTGACACCAAATCCTTGTTCATTCCTGCTCCTCTGCCCTTTGACTTACCAACCTCGCCCTCAGGTCTACTCAAATGGTAACATCCTAGGGGGCACCACTCCCTGTCTAGGCACGTCGTTTGGTGGTCAGCTGCCACATTTTGAGTGCAGAAGGTCTACTTTCTATCCCACGTCATTGAGCAATGGGTTATCTATTGGCTGACAACAGCCCCAGCTGATGATGGCATAGCAAGCCCTTGCATGTTCATCTGCACAAGCCTCAGGAAGCAGGCAAAGGATTCCCAGAGTTGGGAACTGAAGCTGGTTGGATCTGTGTTGTGTGTCAGGGGGGACCCTTAACATTCAACTTGAATACTTGTGATCATCCCATTCTTTTCTATTTGCTTTTCCCCCACCATGATCCAATAATAATAATAATAATAATAATTCACTCAAAGCACTAGGGTAACTGAGTCTCAGTTTATATTCTCAATTCCCTTTTCATTGCTATCCATTCTTTACTAATTAACCAAGTTTCTGACACAGACATGCGGTCAGCATCTCAGCCCTGTTCATTCTGTCTGTGAAACTCAGTTCACAATCTCGCCTTACTAGTCTGTGAAGTCTACCTGTTTCTGCTTTTTTAACCTCTCCATCTCTGGAGAACTGTTAGAGGTGCGTGTTCAAGGAGAAATTGAACTCGATGTTTAGACAGACATAATGGGTGAACATCTGGCTTGGGAACACCAGAATGTGTGTGCACGGCCCCGTTTACCTTTACCTAGTCGTGACACGTGGGACAAGTGATTTCACCTGCACAGGTGGGAGTCTCCCCATGCTCTGTGTTCCTCCAGTGCCTTTCATCTTCTAAACAGACTGCCTTGATGACAAATCAGAACAAGACAAACACTGCTGCACCACTCCAGCGCTCACTCGAGGCTCTCTATCGGGCAGAAAAGATTATCCCTAAGCCTGCTGTGGTCTGGAAGTGCCTGTAACAAGACTGTTTTTGTAACAACTTCCTTAAGGAGACTTCAAAGCCCTTTATTAACCCACAGAGTAGCTGAGCTGGTAGGGACAGAGCAGGAACGCTGCTTGAAACGTGGGTGGTATCTCTCCCTGGTGGCTCTTGGAGGAAAACCTACTCCATCCCTTCAAACCCACCACGGACAAGTGGCTTCATTGGTCACTAAGGCTGGCCTGAGAGGGTGCACAGGCTGAGGGTCAGCACAAATGTGAGATCGGAGAGGGCTTGTCTGGCTGCTGTGGCCAAGAGAAGAGGGCATGATGGGCCAGGTTACAAACCCCGGGGTCCTGTACCAGGGCTGGGATGGACACCCTGCAGCAGCTCGTACAGAACTGTTTCTGCTTAGGTTTGATGAAGAATATGGATGGCCGTATGGAAATGTGATTGAACAGAAGGGTGTGATCTCATAGATTGAGGGGGAATCCAGCAAATCCTGTCTGTTCAGATTCTTCTCGGCCTCTCTGTGTAGCATTGCTTTCTCCCGGGTGTGAGGCAGGGCCCCTCCTGAATGAGGCTCTTTAAAGGAGAAGGGAGAGGGGAGAGAGTGACCTTTCTAGGGTTCATGGCTTGCTGTGGAGAAGAGGGGCTCTAATTTCTATGACCTGCCTGGGGAAGAGGAATTCTGGTTTCTATGACTCACTTAGTGGGAGGGGCAGGAGATAGAGGATGGGAGAAGGTCAGAGAGACCTTGTTTCTGAGGCCTTTTCAGTTTCCTTCAGTTTAAAGTACTCAGCACACCAAGGTGGCATACTTTGGGGTATTGTGTTCTGAGCCCCCAAAAAAGTGCCTGACACACAACAGGTGCTCAGTAAATTATGAAAGTCCCTTTCTTCTGCTGCCATCCCAGAAGAGGGACCCTCTCCCCCAGCTTTCTAGTGAGGACAGAATGATGCAATAAACTAGCATGAGTCCCATCTACTCACCAGTTACCAGGGGGAATCGTAGTAAGCTGTTCATGTGTACCCCACTGTGCTGTCCTATTCTCAGTTAATCTCTTTGCATCTAAACTTGGAACGTAAGAACCTAATCAGGATGCTCTGGGCAGTTGGCAGAAACTCATGTGATTGCAGCTGTCTTGTCCAGTTCCTTAGTCTGTGCCCAGTCTAGGCAGGCAGGCGCGCGCGCGCGCACACACACACACACACACACACACACACACACACACACACACAAACTTGAAGGAGGCTTTTGCCCAAATGGCAACGTACTTGGGGAATTCTGAGTAGGGCTGAAACAGCCTTTGCAAAAATTATAACTGAGGAAATTATGACAGTGACAAAGATCAGACCTAAACGACTCAGTCTTGCTTCTAACCTTTACGCTGTCTTTACTCATTCCTGGGCATAGGCAAAACTCACCTTGGGAAGGAATTCAGTTTATGGTTTGACTCCAAAACAAAATCAATAATAGCCCTTTCTCGAAAAGACCCCTTTCATGCTTGGGACCAGTATGCCTATGTAACCAATTAGCTATGAAATTAGAAATCATCGTTTAGGAGTCATGCAGCCTCTAGCTTCAAGAGGCTGAACCTCCCCACATTGCTCCTGGGGACAACATCATTACCGTAAAATCTAAGATCGTATTTTGCAGACCCTGCACTGGATGGATTAGCTGACACCACTCAGACCATGTATGATCTGGCTCCACCAGTTCTGTGTTCCCACCCAGGAACAGAAGACTGCAAGAAAACCTGACTTTCCCCCTCTATGAGTCCATCTCCAACCTGACCTATCAGCACTCCCCACATCCCAAGCCCCTACCCACCAACTTATCTTTAACTCCTGGAGGCTGGGCACTGCGGCTCACGCCTGTAATCCCAGCTCCTTGGGAGTCCAAGGCGGGCAGATCATGAGGTCAAGAGATCGGGACCATCTTGGCCAACATGGTGAAACCCCGTCTCTACTAAAAACACAAAAACTTAGCTGGGCGTGGTGGCGCATGCCTGTAGTCCTAGCTGCTTAGGAGGCTGAGGCAGGAGAATCACTTTAACCTGGGTGACAGAGGTTGCAGTGAGCAGAGATTGTGCCATTGCACTTCAGCCTGGCAACAGAGGAAGCCTCTGTCTCAAAAACAAACGAATGCTCCTGGAATGCTTGGGGAGACGGATCCGAGTACTGGAATCCCAGCCTTTTAGGAGGCCAAAGCAGGTGGATCACTCGAGGTCAGGAGTTCGAGACCATCCTGGCCAATATGGTAAAACACCGTCTCTACTAAAAATAGAAAAATTAGCGTGTGCCCCTGTAATCCCAGCTACTCTCCCGAGGTAGGAGAATCGCTTGAACCCGGGAGGCGGAGGTTGCAGTGAGCGGTGTCACTTCACTCCAGCCTGGCGACAGAGCGAGGCTCCATCTCAAACAAGCAAACAAGCAAACAAACAAAAACCTCCGGTCTCTGGCACAGCAGGCTCTGCGTGAATTACTTTCTCCGTTGCACCCTGCCTTGATAAATGGGCCCTGTCTAAGCAGCGGGCAAGGTGAACTCGTTGGGCTGTTACAGGACCAGTGACAGAGCAAGGGCATGCCACTGAAGGGATCCCTAGACGCACCCTTCCAGAGGCGAGGCGGGAGGATCTCACTCTGCCAGCAGCTCCTGGCGGAACTGGGTTCCCAGGTCAGCCACCCCGAGGACCCTCAGAGCGCGGCTGAAGTCGTGGCTACAACTCACCTAGGATCTGGGGTGCCAGCCCTCCGGTGGGCAGGGCGTTCTGCCGTCCCACCCACCCCCACCCCCCCGCATGATGACATCATGTGTTTGGGGCTGAGTTGCTCCATAAAAGCAGCCCCGGGGCGGGGGGAGCCAGGAGCGCGAAGAGCGGACGTGCTCGCCAGGGAACCCGGGCTGCACACGCGGTCCTGGTGTGCAGCCAGAGCACGAGCCGCCACCGGGAGCCCCCGGGACAGCAGGAGCCCGCCCCGCAGGAGCCCGCGAAGATGCCCCAGCACAGCCTGCATGCTGCGGCCGTGCTCCTGCTGGTGATCTTAAAGGAACAGCCTTCCAGCCCAGCCCCCGTGAACGGTAAAGTTTCCGCCTGCTTCTTAGCCGCCCCTGGACTGAAGGCTCTTCAATGATAAAGTAAAAAAATCATTGCTGGGGGGGGGGGAGCCGGGAAGGTGTAGTATCAAATGGCACATTCTCAAGAAAGGATGCTCCGCTTTTCCTTTGCGGGGAAGCACGTTGGGGCGGGAAGCACGTTGCTCTCTAGGGGCGCGTGGCGCAGATTTGGAGGTAAAGTGTTTGCGTGTACTCCGCCAGCTCTGAAGATGTGGCTTGGGAACTTGCTAACCAGGGAAGAGACGCCAAGCCAAGATTTAAAGCAGTGTTCCCCACCTACGTGCAGAAAAGTAGAGAGGTGACTGTGGCATTCTGAGTGGGGTAAGCACAGAGAAAGGTTTGCCGTGTCCCAGTGCAGAACCCACAGACGGTGGATAGGCGCTTTTCTTTGGAGGGGAGGATCTTTACCATTAAATCTTACCTACAAGTCAAAGGGATGATGCATCTCATTCTTAATCACTGGTTTTCTCCAGGCGGGCTCTACTATGCTTAATGTACATGTGTGTGCACGTACACACACACACATACACACCTTATTTCTGATTGTAATTAGAACACTAAATCCCAAAGGGCTGGAGGCTAGAGGCCGAGTAGGGTGGCAGGAGGAAGTGGCAGGGGGGACCTGAACCGTGGGCTCACGTGGGGCCAGTGAGTTAACATGTGTGCAGCCAAGGCTGGTTCGTTAATGTTTTGGAATAAGAAAGTGATTTTGAACTGAAAGTGATTTTAATGGCGGAAAATGGATTCCCTCTGGCTAGGCAGTGGTGGTGGGAAATGGGTCCTGGTCAGTAGCATAAAAGCTCTGAGCCTCCTCCCTTGGAGGTCACGGTGCCCCTGGGAAGGGGCAGGAGAGCCAGGCTGTGGATAACTCTTAATTAAATTCCAATCGACTAGCTGGCATATGCTTGATATTATCTCCCTCACCTGGTCAGGGAGAAACAGGAGGTAGGTGGGAGTGATGTAAAGTGAAAATCAAGTTTTAAAACCACAAACTTTACATGCATTCTCCTTTGATGAAAGCCGCACTGAGACTGAAGTTTCCCTGGAAATCTCTTTAGTCCTAATCTGTGCCAAGACAAAAGTGAGAAACAGCCCTTAGTTGTCCCTCTTTCCTGTAACTGGCAGCTCCCCCTCCCTTCTCTCTCTTTTTCTGCCTGTCCTGTTCTTCTCCCCTTCCTTTCTTCCCTACTTTCCCTCCTCCTCCAAGCTAGGGTGGGGGAAGCGTGCAGTCAAAACTCCACTTTCACCTCTGAGGAAGTGGCCTGCCTACCTCTGGGTTCTAAGAACACAGCTTTTATTCTGTAATTTCTCATGCAGTTCTCTTGGGTCTTAACTGCCTTAGAGGACAGGTCAAAGCAAAAACCACTGAGGTGTAGAACGTCAGTATGAACCCAAGGTTGGGGGTGGAGAGGAGTTCAGCTGAGTAAGGGGGGTCAAAGTGTGGTCTGCCCTCTGCCTGGCGCATTTAAACTTCAAGCACTGGAGAATGTTCAAGAACTATGTCAGGGGCCCAGGAGGGAGCATAATAAGCTGAAGCCAGGTGTCTTCTGGAGACACCCTTGGGATTCTCAGTCACTATGGCTTTGGGCGGCATTTCACTGAAGTCTGCAGTGCTGGCCCTGCCCAAACCTGGTGTGCAGAACCAGGCAGTCTCGGGCTACCCAGGTGATGGTTACTCAGGGAAAGTTCTAGCATCCAGCACAGGAAGCAGGCAGGGCCCAGAACCTCTGACATGGATCTTAATAAATACCATTTTCTCTGGGCATTCCCTCCAGGGGAACCTCCCTGCCCAGTGCCAGCTGGGTCTGCAGGTTCTAACAGGCTTCAGGCTGAGTCTCCCAAGTTTCCCTGATGGAACAGATAACTTTCCTTGGAAGGAAACTATTTCCCTCCAGGAAAGCCCTGCTCCCTCTGGACGCCACCAAGGCCTTGGCCTGGCTTTGCCAATGAATCAGTTTAATTCTGTGAAGACTTCTGTTCTTATAGGTAGAGGAGGGGAACCAGGGGGTACTATTCCTGAATAAAGCATACTCTCTCTCTCTCTCTCTCACACACACACACACACACACTTTTAGAGAGTCTCCCTGAGGTCAGATCTGAGCGGGAGCCCTTGACTCGCTAACCTCACGTTGGTTTCACAATGCCACGTCTCCCCAGCCCTCTGGCTCCTGAGCCCCTCCAGAAACTGCCGTTTATACCCAAAACACCAAGTCTGGAGCCCCGAGCCAGCTCACTCACAGAGAGAAGGGCAGGAAGTGTTGCTCTGATGGCTGCTGCCTTTCAGCGAGTCCCGATGCTGTGTCATCACCGAGGCCTTGCAGTCCCAGACGTCCACTCTCTTACTTTACCCCCGAGCTTTCCGGGGTGTGATGCTGAGGCCTCCTCTGAGGATGAGAGCTCCAACAACGGGGAAATCCTCAATTAGTAAGCTCTGGGGAGGGTGGCGGAAGACGTAGCGTAGAAGGCTGTGATTTGAACCGGAGCAGGTACAACGCTGGCAAGGCGACAGTGCTCAGGCGGCAGATGTATTTCTGGTGGCCTCCAGGATCACTGCAGTGGCCTATGCCTCCTCAGGGGAAAAGTAAGGGTGAACTCTTCTGTTACTTGTGAAATTTTACATCCTGGGCCTCCAACTGCTCTGCCCAATAAGAGGCAATGATCCGGCTTGTTATATCCCTAAAGTCCGTGATAGCATCTTAACAGTGAACCCCTCCACAAAAGACTGAAAGAAAATGTCCAGAAGAGGTTTGATGTCTTCTGTAGCTTGGTTCTAGAACAACGCCTTCCTTATTTCTTTGCACTCTTGTTTTAGCAAAGAATGAGCAGTAAACAAGTTTGGTTCTGAATGTTTTCATCCAACTGCAAATTCCAGGGAGGTTGATCTTGGGACCCTCAACTCCCAGTGGGCCCATGGCTGGTTTCAGGGGGTCTGTGGACCTTCTAAAATGAATTGTACATGGAGTTTTGTGTCTAAGCTTAGGGAAATTTTTATGGAGAGAGGTCCGTAATACTCATCGGATACTCTAGGGGGTCTGGACTCCCCACCTAACTACTCCAATGACTGAGGAGACCTGAAGCTTCCCTAAGTTCATGGCGCTAGTGGTAAATTAATGGTAAACGTGGCGGGACTCCTCTCAGTGGGAATGTGACATTGGGCAGGACACTTCACCTTGGTGGACTTTCATTTCCTCTCCTATGAAAGGAGGAGATGGGCTATGAGTGTAAGAAAGAGATCTAAACCCTTCTCTTCCGGAGTGGGATGCCAATAAATGATGCCTAAACCTGAAGCAGTCAAAGAGGAAGAGTATCACTATGTTCTGTAGGGATCTGGAGATAATACCAAAAGAATCATTTTAAGAAGATCCAAAGTGGGCCGGGTGTGGTGACTCACGCCTGTAACCCCAGCACTTTAGGAGGCCGAGGCGGGCGGATTATGATGTCAGGAGATCGAGACCATCCTGGCTAACATAGCGAAACCCCGTCTCTACTAAAAATACAAAAAATTAGCCGGGCATGGTGGCACATGCCTGTAGTCCCAGCTACTCAGGAGGCTGAGGCAGGAGAATTGCTTGAACCCAGGAGGCGGAGGTTGCTGTGAGCTGAGATTGTGCCACTGCACTCCAGCCTGGGTGACAGAGCAAGACTCATTCTCAAAAAAGAAAGAAAAGAAAAGAAAAAGATCCCAAGCGGTTGCTCTAGGGAGCATTGCATGGTTAGGGAATGAACTGAGGCTTTTGTTAAACAGCCTTGTAGAACCATCTGCTTTTTTAAACCACGTGCAAGTGTACTTTGATAAAAATTACCAATTACATTTGAAAATTAAAAACAAAATTAATTACAAACCCTGAGGCAAAGAAATGGAACAAATAACAAAAACTATGAGATTAAACTAGTTTTTTAAAAAGGCCAAGTTCATTTTTAACTTTTAAAAAACACAATTTGCAAGGCCGGGCGCGGTGGCTCACACCTGTAATCCCAGCACTTTGGGAGGCCGAGACGGGTGGATCACGAGGTCAAGAGATCGAGACCATCCTGGTCAACATGGTGAAACCCCGTCTCTACTAAAAATACAAAAAATTAGCTGGGCACGGTGGCGTGTGCCTGTAATCCCAGCTACTCAGGAGGCTGAGACAGGAGAATCACCTGAACCCAGGAGGCGGAGGTTGCAGTGAGCCGAGATCGTGCCATTGCACTCCAACCTGGGTAACAAGAGCTAAACTCCATCTCAAAAAAAAAAAAAAAAAAAAAAAAAAAAAAACGCAATTTGCTTGGGTAGGAAACGGCCAGGAGTGATAAGTGACCAGATTGCTTGTCAGATGTTTTACTGCACACTGATTCCCACGAGAGAAAGGGGATGTGAGGTGCTTCCCCACATGGGTATGCTTTTCCCTCTGTACCCTTGTGGGCCAAGTACCACCAAGACCCTGGAAAAAAGCCGGGAGAGAGGGATTTAGGGGTTGCACAGTCCCCTTATTGGATGAGACCCCTGAGACACGTAGAGGCATACTGCTCTACCGAGGGTCCCTTCCTCACAAGTGAAGAGGAAGACCGGCAGGCAGGGGCACAAGAGCACAGCTCTGCACTTGTGAAAAAGACCTTTTTGACATAGGAACGAAGAACCTTTATGCATGAAGGGTGTGCAGTGCGGAGTAGTCGGTAACTTTTCTTCTCTTTCTGGCAGAACTTCGCCTACACGTTTCTACTGCCCCTGGAATTCTGACTCAGATATGGGTAGCAGCTTCCTCAAAGAGAACCTTTTTCCCAGCTGGGCGCTACGGCTCACGCCTGTAATCCTAGCCCTTTGGGAGGCTGGGGTGGGTAGATCACTTGAGCCCAGGAGTTTGAGATCAGCCTGGGCAACATGGCAAAACCCCATCTCTATGAAAAATACAAAATTAGCAGGTGTGGTGGTGCACACCTGTAGTCCCAGCCTACTAGGAAGACTGAGGTGAGAGGACTGCTTGAACCCAGGAGGTTGAAGCTGCTGTGAGCTGAGATCAAGTCACTGCACTCCAGTCTGGGTGACAGAGTGAGACCCTGTCTCACAAAAAGAATGAAAAAAAGAGAAAGAAAAGGAAAGGAAGGAAGGAAGGAAGGGAAGGAGGGAGGAAGGGAGAGAAGGAAGGAAGGAAGGAAGGAAGGAAGGAAGGAAGGAAGGAAGGAAGGAAGGGAGAGAGGGAGGGAGGGAAAGAGAGAATGAGAGAGAGAGCAAAAGAGAAAAAGAAAGAGAAGAAAGAAAGGAAAGAAAGGAGGGGAGGGAGGAAGCAAGGAAGGGGAAAATGCTAAGTGGGGGAAAAGCAAGGCACAGAACACGATTTCCAGTATGCCAATGTTTGTGTAAGGAGAAAGAGGGATCAATACATATGTATGTGTAGCCACGCCATGAAAGGGCCCCCATCATCAGCCAACCTCACTGTCTAATGGAAACAGGGAGCTTTTGCTGTATATACCCTTTGAAGGCTTTTGGGTTTTGAGCCACATCTAATCATTACCTGTTCAGATAATAAAGCTTGGCTTCTCTAAGGCATCTGGAAGGCAACTATTCAAGAAGCCCCCTCCAGCTTCCATGAGCCCCTGTGCCTCTGTCTGGAGCACAGTTGCCTTGAGAAGCTGTTGCTCTGATGCAGACTCAGAAAAGTTTCCATTTCTGGGCATCGACCTCCTTTTCAGTTTCACTCATATCAAAATAAAATCTGTAGTCTTTTCCCTTATTCATCTGGTTCTATCGTACTTACTTACTGTGTTTTGTTCTTTGTAGGTTCCAAGTGGACCTATTTTGGTAAGTAGAAATTTTAAATACTTTTTGTTTAAAAGAAAAAAGAAATGGTTGTACTTAATGAGAAAAACAGAAATTTCATGCTCTGTGGAGGTTATTTTGAGGGGTCAAAAGAACAGTTTGGTATTGTAGAAAGAGAGGACAAAGGCATCTCCCAAGAACAGGTCACATCGACTTGAGTTGCTCACTGCACTTTCTCCAAGCAGGCGAGCCTAGAACTGTGACTCGTAGTGTTAAGACTTCAGATTCCTACAAGGATTTCTACCAAACCTCCAAGATTCGGAGGTAACGTGCCCCACCTCCAGACTGCAAGGGTCCTTGGCAGGAGAGAGCCCTTCTCCTCGTAGGACACGTGTCCTACAATAAACAAAGAAGAAAGGGCTCCTTTCTGAAAGCTTGGCTCAGGTCCCAGAACTTAAGCTGTCAGTGTGTCTCGAGTTAACTTCTTGTTGGCCTGATGGTAAGCTAGCGATGGATGAAGAGGTGTTGGCCAGTCCTCAGTGAAAGAGGGATGCTTGTCTTAAATGGAGCAAGAGGAACACCCAGTGTGCTTCTTGCCTGGGCTGTCTGTGGGACTGTCTCAAGGGCATGTTTGCCCCGTCTGACAGGCCTGCAAGATAAGCAGCTGGAAATCTGCTTAGCTGGAGAGTCACAGTGAATCAGAAATCAGTCATTGGCTGGAATGGATATGGCAGGCCGGGCACCCAAGTCCCCTGGCAAGTGCGAGAATGTTGGTAATGTCTTGTTGGGGCGCAGCCAGAAGATGCACAACATCGATTGTTTTGGTAGCGGAAGGGTGGAACGGACCCGCTGCCCCAGGTGGCATTTTAAGCAAGCAGGGGTGTGGCCAAAGTTGAAATCGTGGGCAGTGGCTGTGGGTGGGGGCGGGCGGGAAGGTGATTACTACAGTGGAATCACGATCCAGAGAAAGATCTGATGCCAATTTGCAAAGGTCAGCCTCTGGAGGTTCACCAGCCCAGGAGGCCTGGAAACGTCGCTGAACTGACCAACCGGCTACCTACAGGCCAAGGTCCCCTCAGCCCTGGCACTGAATGGCTCCGTTCCTGCTAACATCCCTTCCGCACTCATTATGTGCACAGCACATTGCTAAGTGGGTGGTTAATAGAAGGGTAGCTGGGAATTACTTAAAGCTCACAGTTCAAAGCAGAACATGATAGGTAATAACAACATCATAAACCAATGCTTCAGAGCGCTGAGTGCTCAAAGGAGGATGTGTGTGCTGGGGCTAGATGGTCAGGGAAGGCCTCCCGGAGGAAGAGGCTTTTCACCTGGGCCTTGGAAGAGGAGGGAGATTCAGTGAAGGGGGAGGACGTGCTGTTGGCCAAGCTGATGATGGTGTCACATGAGTGGAAGCAAGAAGGAGCAAGGTGGTGTTGGAGGAAAGCGTGTGGAGAAGGGTTTATAGGGACGTCAGGGCTCTAAGGTCAGGGAGATAGGTTGGGTCAAACAGGGGAGGTGTGGCGGGGAAGGGCAGGCCTTTCCCACTTTGTCCTGCTCATAGAGGGGCAGGGCAGGCCTTTCCCACTTTGTCCTGCTCCTAGAGGGGCAGGGCAGGGAGTAAGTCTGCGTTTCAGGAAGAGTTACTTGGTGGTAGGGGGTGGAGGGGAAGGATGGGAGGGACGCAGGAAGGGGTTCAGCCTGTGGAGAACCCCCATTCTGTGTCTTCACACCCGGTTTACAGTGGTGGCAGTGAAGGGGAAGGCAAGGCTAAGACAAGGGAACTTACAAAGTGAGAATTGCCGATTCTGGGCCACAGGGCCGCTTGGGCAGGTTCTGCGTGTGGGAGGCAACAGACACGGACAGAAGGTGGCCCTTGGGGTCTAGGCTTTCTTCCATGCCATCCCCACTGAGCCATTTCAGCGCCAGGACCTCGCTTTCCCCGTCTATAACCTGGGGGAGCGTTTGTTTAGACCAGTGTTTCTCAGACTACAGCTTGGGATCTGAGAAACACATCAGGATCACCTGGAATGCTTCCCCAAAATGCAGATTTCTGGGCCTTGACCTGGACCTGGGAAAGGGAGGGAACCTGAAAAACCTGTGTTTTTAACGCACTCCCCAAGTGACTCTTAGGTGTGTTCTTATCAGAGAATCACTGACCAATGGTTCCCAAGATCTGTTTAGCTAGATCAGAGGAAACTTGCCCCATCTCTTCTGCTGGTCTCTCAGTCATGATAGAAACCCAAATCATATCTCCATGGGGTCCTCCGGCTCTGTCATAGCCCTGCTGGGCAGAATGAGGTGGTGACAGCGAATAGAGAGACATTGTGTCAAGAAAACCTTTTTTTTTCTTTGGAGTCTCACTCTCGCTCAGGCTGGACTGCCATGGCTTGATCTCAGCTCACTGTACCCTCTGCTTACTGGGTCCAGCGATTCTTCTGCCTCATCCTCCTAAGTAGCTGGGATTACAGGCGTGCAACACCATGCCCAGCATAAAAATATAAAAATTTTTATATTTTTAGTAGAGATGGGTTTTCACCATGTTGGCCAGGCTGGTCTTGAACCCCTGACCAGATGATCCACCCATCTTGGCCTCCCAAAGTGCCGGAATTACAGTTGTGAGACACTGCGCCCGGCTGGAAGAAAACCTGAACTGCCCCTTCATCATGACGTGGTGTTCCCCAAGGGTGGGCTTCTCAGTGCAGCCGTATTGACTGGTCCAGAGGCATTTCTTCCTGACCACCAGCTGTGGCCAGCCCTCTGTCCCTCCTGCCCCACACAATTAGAGCTGCTCTTTGCTGAGGAAGCAGAGGACAGAGTCTAATGATGCATGGACATGCGTGGCGTAAGCACAGAAGCAAGTCTGGTTTTTATTAGTGACACAGACACGTGTGATGTGGAGTCAGCCCTCGAAGGGGATGTGAAGGGGAGGACAGATGGAAGACAGCTCAAGAGGCAAACTCCTTCATAGGTCCTGGCTCGCAGCTGGCATCTGTGCTCAGAGTTGCACAGGTAGACAAAGGGCCCAGCATAAGTGCTGGAGGGAAATGGTTTCTAAGCAGTAAGGGCCACACTGAATGGGGCAAATCCAACCAAAGGCTCCATGCTGGTTTTCCTCAAGTGTAGAACTCAGCTTTGTTGCACATACACTGCTGAGTCATTCTCCAGGGGCCACCCCCCAACTGGCACATATGGTAGGACTTCTAGAAGTACAAAGAAAGGGAGCTGTACCCCTACCTCCTCATAGCTGAGTCACCAGGCTGACTGCGTGGATGGCCCCCTCCCAGGAGAGAGGAGGACCATCTGACTGCCAGGATGGGGCCAGCATCATCCCTCTGCACTCCTCCTGGGGTGCCGAAGCAGCAGCTGAATGTCTGCTAGGCTTAGCATGGCTGAGGTGCCATCACGAGAGAGAGGCTAGGGATGATGTGACATGGACCCTCCCCGCCAGAAATCGGTCCCGCATCAATCCTGCTGAGCCCTGCAGCTTCCATTGCTCCGAGGGCAGCTGCAGGTGGTATCTGAGCTAAGGTATCAGAATATGTGTCCTGTGGGGGATGAAGATGGCTGGACAGAGGCAGGAGGGGTTGTGGGCACGTTCAGGTCCTTGGTGTGGGTGCTGCCGTCACTTTGTGAAGGTGCATCCAGCTGTTTGCTTATGGTCTACATACTTTTCTGTGTGTATTTCATATTCAATAAAAGAGTTAAAAAATTACAGCTGGCTGGGAGATTTATCCTTACTCTGACGGCTTTTGTAGTACTTCCCCAAGAAAAAAAACTAAAAAAAAAAACAGTGTATTCAAAACAACAGAGCAACCAGAAAGAATGACTATATTGGAACTAGACCCAAGAACGCATCATGTGAGCTGAGAATGAACAGGGTTTCATCCCTGATGATATCACATAGTGGTTTGATGGTTTGCTGCTCCTTGGATGTGAGCTGGTTGAGAAATAGATGAAAACCCCTGTTTGCTCAAGATCTGGAAAGTCTTAAAGGCTATGGGATGGCAGAAGAACATGGGTGACTAGCCTTCCTCCTGGAGTGTATGCGAACTCCACCTCTCCCTGTCACAGCCCCACAGGGCACCGGCAAGACCAGCCCCTCCACCCTGTTAGGAAACTTTGGAAAGATGGCGGCCTGGCCTGGGGATGCTGGGGGCTGCCTGTGGCTGTGGCCACACCCGCTTACAGGTCCGCCTGCCCAGTTCTCTGTTGTGGAGGGTCAGCCCTCCTGGCCCTTGGCTCTGACAGGACTCAGTGTGACCCAGGCAGTGCTGTGCATCCCTTGTGCTGTGCTTCTTGGTTTCTCTCCCAGACAACAGATTGTCTATCTTAAAGAATTGCCCTTGGAAATCAGCGTGAGATCCTCCACTGTGGCACACCTCATCCTCACGTCCCTCAAGTCCTGCAGGTCTGTACCTCCACCCACCTTCTGTCCTGTATCTGCAGAAATATTTAGTTCCTATAATGAACCTTTCCTGGGACTCCAGACACCCTTTCACCCTCTTCCCGAACAACTAGAATGGCAGGGAGCACAGGCAGTTAAAAGATTGGCTTCACCAAGGGTCTTGTCTTTCTCAAAGGTAGAGAGGCTTGGCCAGCTCAAAACACTCCAGCTGCCATCCTGAGGCTGAATAAGGGGCACAGAGTGCTCTTAGGAGAGCCAGAAAAGGCCAGGCATGTTTTCCTTTTTTTTTTTTTTTTTTTTTTTTGAGATGGAGTCTCACTCTGTTGCCCAGGCTGGAGTACAATGGCTTGATCTTGGCTCATTGCAACCTCCACCTCCCAGGTTCAAGTGATTCTCCTGCCTCAGCCTCCCAAGTAGCTGGGATTATAGGTACCTGCCACCACGCCTGGCTAATTTTTGTATTTTTGGTAGAGACGGGGTTTCGCCCTGTTGACCAGGCTGGTCTCAAGCTCCTGACCTCAGGTCATCCTCCTGCCCTGGCCTCCCAAAGTTCTGAGATTACAGGCTTGAGCCACCAAACCTGACCCAGATGTGTTTTTCTTTTCTTTTTTGAGACAGGGTTTGTTTTGTTACCCAG